TACCCCGACACCTGCGTACCCAGCCACCACTTTTTCCGAGTAAACTGAATACCCTGCTGCAAGGGGGGGGGGGCGCTATCCTGTCGTGCATTGGTCAGATTTGGTGCCGTCGATGATGTGATTTTTTAAGCTTTTTTTTATTGCTTATTTTCCTTTCTTCAGTGAATGCTAACGTCGTTTACATCAATGTTTTTTTTTTTTATTTAGAAATAGGCCTAACACACATACAAATGCTATGATTCATTCCTGGTCACCAGAGAACTTTCGAAACCCTTGAAAATTTGCCCACACTTATACACGAGCAACTATTTTCATCTATGAAATTCATCAAAAGCAGAACGAGGTTACAACTGAATGTTATGCTGCACTCAATCACAAATTCAACATTGAAAGAGTGGTGAAACAGACTTGAAAGACCCCATATAAAATAAGTAATGTTTACTTGTTTTGTTTGAGTCTACCATAACGTAGAAATGCAAATTATGGTTATCGATACATTGATGCAAGTAAGAGACGGAAAAAGGGGAGTCGTATGGCGCATCTGATATCGTGAGTGAGAAAAAATGACGCTGACCACCTGTATCCTAGCATTAACAAGTAGATATAGATATCTTGAGACTAACACATATTGCATGTAATACCCTTCTATATGTGTGTGAATAATAGCTTCAATTAATTTTTACTTTAGAACTATCATGGGAATTGCTTTAATGTGCCGTAATAAGTTTCTTTGTTTTAAGGTAGTTTCAGTGCATAAAGAACAAGCTATCCATTATCTTTACACATACAATGTTGTCATTACGGGCGCCATCCTTCTACTTATATTATCGTTGCCGACAGCTATTCCGGCGCCAACTTCGCTGTCTCGCCGATTATTTTTTTTTAGTGATCCTCGTAGCGTGTGTGGCCGCGGTGGCTCTGCGATAAGGCTCCCGTGTACCATCAGCCTCCTGTTTACGCCGCACCCACGTACCACGCTCCCGAACCCGTGTACCATGCCCCTGCCCACTACAAGGAGCCAGAGTACCCCACCGTAAGTAATTAATTCTGTCCTCACCTTCTACGTGGTCTAAAGCTAGCAAAAGAAGGTCTTTGTGAAATTATTTCTATCAGTAAGAATTAGGTTTAACATTATGCTCTAATCAGGTCCCCCCGAAGTACAACTACAACTACGGCGTCGCCGACGGCTACTCCGGCGCCAACTTCGGCCACTCGGAGTCCCGCGACGGCTACAAGACCGAGGGCAGCTACACCGTGGACCTCCCCGACGGCCGCAAGCAGACCGTCAAGTACGTGGACAACGGCGACGGTCTCGTAGCTGAGGTCAGCTACGAGGGCGAGGCTCAGTACCCCGAGCACACCCCCGCCTACTATGTTCTCCCAAGTACTCCCGTTATTTTAAGTAAACGAGCAGTATTTACTTAAGGTTTGAATTCAAAAAGGAAAAAATGATAGTAAAAAAAAAAAAAAAAAAAAAATCATGGTCAGTAAAAAAAAAAAAAAAAAAAAAAAATCAATAAAAAATCTCTCTCACCCTTTCTCTTGCTTTCTCAATCTATGTCTGTTGATGTTGATCTAATACTCATTCATATACCTTTATCTATTTCCTCTTATTTTTGTATTCATAGGTTTATCGTTTTATTCAATATTCTACAAGTCATTCTTTAGAAAGAAAAAACAAAAGAGAAAGAATGAGAGAGGAGAGCAAGCAGATGAGGAGAGATAAGATAGAGAACTATGGAAAGAGAGATGAATACAGATAAAGAAATAGGGGAAGGGGTCGATAAATAGGCAAAGCGAATAATACAGAATCTTTCAAAATGTATCATCTGAATCTTGACGTAACGCAGATCCAAAACATCGAGAGACAAAAAAAAATGAAATGATCATGGAAAATAAAGCCATGATTCCTTGACATCTCCCATTAAATTCCGATCAACGTGGGAGACCGATTATACACTGACGAAATGTATAATTGATGAGGCGTATCCGGTCTGAGATGAATAACTGATGAGGCAGGAAATATCTTCATTATTATACAGACCGACAGCTACGGTATCTGATAAGTTATGAGGCTGACATAAACATGATTTAAAGTATCAGATCAGATTCCGGTGTCATGGAGGTGACGGTATTGTATAAATTGTTTTGTTGCATTTGTTTTTGTATTTATATTTTCTTTCTTTTCTCTTGAATCATTTCCAGGTTTTTATTTCTTTTTCTTTTTTTTTTTTCTTTTTTTTTTTTTGGGGGGAGGGGGTTAAGAGATAAATAGGTTATTTTAATATTCTTTTATTATGAATCTCTTCGAAAAATAAATAATCTATTTATGATCACATGTTATTGTCTTGCTTCGGTCGTATGGAGCCAACCGATGAGAAATATAACAGTGGTCAAGTGGAAATCAAGTTGCATGAGAGAAAGGTGCGGACTTGGGCTTAGTACACGGGGTACTTGGGGGGAGCGGGCTTGTAAGTGGGCTTGTACTCGGGGTACTGAGCCTCGCCCTCGTAGCTGACCTCAGCTACAAGACCGTCGCCGTTGTCCACGTACTTGACGGTCTGCTTGCGGCCGTCGGGGAGGTCCACGGTGTAGCTGCCCTCGGTCTTGTAGCCGTCGCGGGACTCCGAGTGGCCGAAGTTGGCGCCGGAGTAGCCGTCGGCGACGCCGTAGTTGTAGTTGTACTTGGGTGGTGCCTGCTCAGGAAAAGAATAACATTAAATCCAAGCTAGAAGCAGGTATGATCGTGGATTCAGTGGACACTTTTTTAATTACACCTAGAAATGGGGAAAAGAAGTCCATGACTGAGCCACCTATAATGGTTTACTTACGGTAGGGTATTCAGGCTGCTTGTAGGGTGCAGGGGCATGGTACGTGGGTGCGGCGTAAACACGTGGCTGGTGGTACACGGGAGCCTTATCGGCCAGAGCCACCGCGGCCACACACGCTACGAGGATCACCTGAAACACGACATAAATTTCTCACTTTATGAAAGAAACCAAATTCGAAAATCAAGTTTATTTTGTCACCAATAACCATTATATACTTTGTTATATATATATATATATATATATATATATATATTTTCTTCTCTCTCTCTCTCTCTCTCTCTCTCTCTCTCTCTCTCTCTCTCTCTCTCTCTCTCTCTCTCTCCTCTCTCTCTCTCTCTCTCTTGCAAATACGGGAGAGAGGAGGTGCGTGGGTACCTTGAGAGACATGGCTGTTGTTTGATGGCAAGAAAGTGTCTCAGCCGCTTATATAGGTGTCCACATCCTCTGCTGGGACGAGTTCAAGGTCACTCGCTAAGCCTACCTAAAGAAAGACTGGGTTGGAGGGGGTTCTGTCATATCTATTGCCATTTAATTATTATTATTACTATTATCATAACCATCATCATTATCATTATCAGCATCATTATTTACTACCTACTTGTTATTACTATCATTATCATCATTATTATTATTATAATCAGAAGAATTTTTGCTGATATTGTTATTTTTATTATTATCATTGATGTATAGTTGCTACCATAGTTATCAGTGTTATTGTTGTTATTACCATCATCATCAATCATCATTATTGTTATTATTATTAACATTGTTATCATTGTTATTACCATTATTATCATTAGGATTATTATTGCCGTTATTATCATTGTTATTATTATTGCTATTATCATTATCGTTATCATCATTAGTAATATTATTAGTAGTAGAACCATCACCATAACCATTATCATTGGTATTAATATTATCATTATCGTTATTGTTATTGTCATGATTTTTATTATTGTCGTCTATTATTGTTATATTATTATTATTTTATTATATATTATTATTATTATTATCACAATTATTAATATTAGTATCATGTTATTATAATTATCATTATTATCATTGACGTTTCACTATAATAGCAGTAATACTAATAATCATAATGATAATATTAATGAAATAATGATGAATGATTACTTATCATGATGATGACCATCATAACAATAGTAATAATGATAATGATTATCATCATTATCATTACTATTATTATTATTATAACTATTATTATGATGATCATCATTATCTTCATCATAATAATAACAATAGTAATAATGGTAATGATAATAGTAATAATGATGATAATGATAACGATAACAATAATGAGGGCAGATTGAAAGATAGTAAATAGAATGTAAAGATATAACATTGTTAATAGTAATGATAATATTGATATAATAAACTGATGATGATAATAGAAAGATGATAATGATAATAAACAATGATTAATAATAATGATATAATAATAATAAATAATAATAATAATCATAATAATAATAATAATAATAATAATAATGATAATAATAATAATAATAATAATAATAATAATAATAATAATAATAATAATAAATAACATAATAATAACAGCAACAATAGTAATAATTATAATAATTGTAGTTATAACAATGATAACTATTATTATCATCGCCAATGAATTCATCATATCTCGTCTCTTATGACTATCTCTATCATCTACTCATCATCTTTGTTTTGTGTTAATCCTATTATCATTTGTTATTGCTGTCATTATCATTATTGCCCCCTATCATTACTATTACCCCTATTACTATCAGTACATTATTCCATTATTATTGTCAATCATCAATTACGTTAATCATTACTGTCATTTATAATCATTATGTCGCAGTTAGATTTATATCCCATTAATGTTGCCTTTAGATTTACTGTCATTAGTATTTTATCATCATTTTTTATCATCATCAATATTATCATACAGTACTGTGTAGTTCAATGGTAACGTGCTTGCTTAGATATCTTGCCAACCTGCGTTCGATCCCGCGTGCTGCCAGTGCATGGTCACCCCGGCCATTCCTTGCACACAGGGGGAGATGTAGAAGGTAAAACAGATGACATGTCACAGCAAAGAATATCCATTGTAACAAATTGAAACTAAATCTAAATCTAAAATTCTAAAAATATTTGTAAAAAAAAAAAATTATATAAAAAGTATCATAAGCTTTATCTTTATTATAGTCATTATCATTCTTATTATTATTATTATTATTATTACATCATACCATACTCATCATTTCATTATCATCATTATCAAATATACTATTATTATTGAATATTATAAAAAAATCATTCTTAGCATATACTTTTTTAGTAAATTAACATCGTTAGCATTATAATCAACATTGCTTTTCTTGTATATCTCATTGCTGCATTGTCAATTATTATTATCATTGTCATTATTCCATTTTTACTCTCATTATATTCGATTATTCCATGCGTTTATCTATTCCTGTAATGTTATGGTATTTTCTTTCTTATTATCAATTTTACCCAAGCTCAAACAAACGTGTTATCACCAAGACCAGCCCAAATCCTCCCAACCTCAAGTCCAGTCTCTGTGGGGGTTACCCAAGAAGCATATCTTAGCCGCTAAACTCACCTCCTTTACTATCATCTCTATATCCCAGAACAGGATCACTCTCTCATACTGTGATAGACCACATTCCGTGTCACGTACTACCAGGCTGAATTCCTTCCCTTCAACTGAGAAGTCATCATCTACATGTCAAACACTCGCACAGATGGCCAACAGTGCAACTTCCATCATGCCACACGTCCCCAGCCTGGTCAAGCACAGTAACATAGCGCGTTCTATAACCCGTTCGCGTCCGTCTCGACAACTGCTCACGTACATCATTGCCGTTACACAGCAAGGCCTCCTCGAACCGAGACCCGCGCACCCATTCGAGTCGTCGACAAGCTCCGTCGTTGACTTCGATACCATCATCTTTCATAATCGACATTTCGATCATGACCCGCTGCGCATTCAGAATCACAGCGAAAACCTTTGTTATTTTACTATTCATTAGTAACATCAGTATTATTATCATTACCATGCATTAAACTATCATTATTAGTTGCATTATTATTTCTGTCCCCAATACCATTATCAACAGTTTTATTATTGTTATTAATCATTATCATTATTACCTATTATTATCATCATGATTATTCATGATTACCGTTATTTTTATATTAGTACTGTTATCATTATTATAATCATTATTATTGTTATCATAATTTTCATTATCATATTACTGTTGTCATTATTATAATCATTATCATTACTGTTATCATCATTATCATAATTACCATTATTACTGTTATCATTATTATCATTATCATTGTTATTCTTTAGGTTGTTGTGGTTATTGTATGTGCTCTTATTATTATCATTATTACTGTCATCATTCTCACCATCATTATTATCACCATTATCCTAATCATTATCATGTTTACTTTCATAATCAATACCATTATCATTATGATAACAATAACCATAATTTCGATTATTATAGTAATGATAAGTATTATCAATACAATGACAGCAATAACAACAATAATCATAATAGTAACAATGATAATAATATGGTGTAAATAAAAACTAAAAGGGTTGTGTAAATATAACATGAAATGACGTATTTTAGTTTTAGCTTATGCATGCGAGAATAAGTTGATATTGTTTATAAAGATATTGGATAATTTTTGCCGATACACACCTCTTTTGGATATAGAGAAAGTATGTTTTTTATGTCCAAAATAGTTTATTGTTATAAATAAAATATACCATATCACATATTTCTAGTTCCTCCATGTGATCGTGTGATGTGCATGAATGTACACCTTTAGTACACGGGGTACTTGGGGAGCGGCTTGTAAGTGGGGTAGGGGGCTTGTAGGTGGGCTTGTACTCGGGGTACTGAGCCTCGCCCTCGTAGCTGACCTCAGCTACGAGACCGTCGCCGTTGTCCACGTACTTGACGGTCTGCTTGCGGCCGTCGGGGAGGTCGACGGTGTAGCTGCCCTCGGTCTTGTAGCCGTCGCGGGACTCCGAGGCGGCGAAGTTGGCGCCGGAGTAGCCGTCGGCGACGCCGTAGTTGTAGTTGTACTTGGGTGGTGCCTGATTGGAAAAAGTATAACATTAAATCCAGCTTATATACGGGTAGGAGCATTGTCGTTACGAAAAATAGCCATTTTAAACGTCGTTAAACCTTGTACTAAAAAATAAAAATAGTACTGAGCCGCATAGAGCAAGGTACTTACAGTAGGGTATTCAGGCTGCTTGTAGGGGGCGGGGGCAGGGTACTTCGGTGCGACGTACTGAGGGTACACGGGAGCCTTATCGGCCAGAGCCACCACGGCCACACACGCTACGAGGATCACCTGAAACAAAACAATAATTTCACTAAATAAAACAATCCCAATTTGAATACCCCTGCTCACTATATTAAAAACGTTGATATTCGTTGCCTCTATAAATCTGTCTCTTGCAGATGTAAAAGTTTCTTAAAGGGGGAGCGTGCGATGTGCGTACCTTGAGAGACATGGCTGATGTTTGATGCCGAAGAAATGTCTCGCCCCTTTATATAGTGCCCCATAACCTCTGACTTGCTGAATTCAGGGTCAGTCGCCTTCCTTCCGCCTTCCCTTGCTTAAGGCGGCTACCTGGCCCCTTTATATAGTGCCCCATAACCTCTGACTTGCTGAATTCAGGGTCAGTCGCCTTCCCTCCCTGGAGAAAGGGCGGCTAACCCTTGGCTATGCTAGATCTGTTATCAGTAAGCATTTGATTTCGTTTGCATCCATTAAAATACTACCAGTTATAAAATTTAAATGAACGTTAAAAATGAAATAGACAGCGATGCCACGGCAATCTTACCTATATCTTTCTATCGGACGGCCTTTACATATCTGTGTATAGCGTTCTTAACCCTTTTATCACCCCGCTCCCTCTAGGAATTGATTCTCCCAGGCCCTCCTTGCATCTAGAGGTAAAATCCCCTATCAGACTTTTCTAGAAAAAATATAGACGGGATTCAAAACTCGCGATGGACAAATAGATTATCACAAGCTTTCTCACAGTGTACCGATAACTGCTTACTAATTTTAAGTAAATGAAATTAAAGTAAAATATTCGTCGACAGCCTCTAAAGTGAGAGAAAGGTGATTACCAAGGGCATGAGTAGCAAACTTGGAAAGACTAGATTTCGGCAACGAGTATATAATTCTATGATTAGTTAGCCCCCCCCCCATCTCCACATTGGGGATAAGGGGGAAATGGATAAGGAGGGGCTCAATGAGGACGGGAAATCATAATCCTGCGTAGACTATAGAAGTCCAAAGTTATTGAAGGCGATTCTTTTTCATTTTCTTTTTATATAATCTCGCTCTTTTGAGAGAATAAATAATACAGAAATTATTATTTTTCTCTAGGGCACGGACATCCCAAAGGAAGTGCTAATGCCACATTTGGGCCAAAGTGCTTTTCAGTGAAGAACCACTGGTCTACAATCTACATAGATGTATGTACATGTATAAATCGTACACGTCTCTTTGAAAGTAGTCATATAGATATGTTTATAGATATTTACATATACGTTTACATGTCCCGTGGGAATGCTGTGTTTTTATATTCTCCATGCACACACATAAGCATGTATATTGATACAGGTAGATACCTATAAAAAACCGCTCTGCATATATATTGTGCATATACATATATACATTACATCTACATACATTTCTACATACTTACAGACGTATCGATACATGAGTATATAAGAGTTGTTCATTTTTACAAGAATCATATATTCAGTTTAAAAAATACATTCAAAGACGGTTGTTAAATATATCCAAAATTTCAATAGCGCTGAATATATATCGATCCTCATCTTTTAGCATTGTTTTAAAGACCAAACTATTGAATTACAAACCAAGCATACTGCCTTGAGTCACGTCGAAAGTACAGTAATTGCTGCAAAACTTCTATTGATAAAACGTCCTGTATATATCACGTATTTATGAATCTGTCTGCCTGTAAATATTGTATTTATGAATGCACACGGCTCTACTATGAATTTATGTATATACAGATGGAAATCTATAATGGCTTTTATATCCATATATTCATATACACCAATAAAGGCAAATATGTCTTTGCAAAAACACCGCATAGAATCCATACACTTTTTAAATGATCAATTATCATGTCATTGGACATGATAATCAGTTAAGCTTTATAAAGTAATCAGTTGATAAGTATCTTGATAAACACTTTTCGACACATATTTTAGGGTAGAATGGTACGAAGAAGACGGTGAGGGTTGACTGAATTTCAGTGTTATTGCACCATTGGTGTTATTTCATAGATGGAAGATACAGAAATTCCGAAAGAAAGAAGAGGGCGATTTGATGAGAATATTGACTTCTATATCAGTGCTGAATAAGGTTTCTAGAAATCTATCGGCTTTTTTTTCTTTCTTTCTTTCTTTCTTTCGTTCTTTCTTCCTTTCATTATTTGACTTTGGAGTCAAATAATGACGCAAAATGAAATCATCTAGTTTTAGAAAATGATATATGAGATTGACATACAAGGAATGGCCGACCTCGAGATAATTCGCTGCATAGTTTAAAATATATACACAAATCTCAGATATTATTCATAAACCTAGCAACGTTCTGTCTTATTTCGGCTTATGTAGGATTTGTCATGTCAATATCTGCCATGGATATGGAATAAATATACCAAATTATTTTCCGTATTCTTTTATTATAAATGGTAAATTAACTTTATAATATCACATATTCATAACCCGATCACGCCGCACCAATTTATACTATTTGGCACAAAGGATGAATGGGTTAAGATGGAGAGAAAGCGCGTGAATGGACACCCTTAGTACACGGGGTACTTGGGGGGAGCGTGGTAGGGAGCGGGCTTGTAGGTGGGCTTGTACTCGGGGTACTGAGCCTCGCCCTCGTAGATGACCTCAGCCACATAACCGTCGCCGTTGTCCACGTACTTGACGGTCTGCTTGCGGCCGTCGGGGAGGTCGACGGAGTAGCTGCCCTCGGTCTTGTAGCCGTCGCGGGACTCCGAGTGGCCGAGGTTGACGCCGGAGTAGCCGTCGGCG